TTACATGTCATAAGAGCTATTCTTCTTTTGACTTTTTTTTTTTCAACTTTTAAACAATTCTTACCTTAGGGGCAAACAAAAATAGACAATGGCACGCAGGCCGTAGCTTGCCAACCCCTTGATCTAGCGCATTTCTTCATGGCACTGCCTTGCAGAAGCAACTTGGTCTGCCATGTAGTGGTGGTTAGCTTGTTCTCTAATCGCTTTTATTTCCTGTAAACCTGAAGTTATATCTAAAGGCTAAAACAATCGTAAATTCTCTACTTGCTGTCCCTTTGTATCCCTAGATCATGGTGACAGTGGTATGACATGATTTATTGAGACCAGTGAGGCATCAGTTTGGAGATGTATTTTTCTTTTGGTTACAAACAGTTTTCCACTCTTATTGTTTTGAAAAATAAAACTCATTAATACTGGCAACAGTTTTTAGCAGTAATGCTTTTAAAGCAAACTAATTAAGGAGAAAATTAATGGAAAAGAAACATTACTTATCCTTATAAGATGGCATGCCACTAAATGTATGAATCCCTCAGTATTCCCCCCCCAATCAGAGTTAGTGATTTTCTGCTTTGCCTTTTTTTCTTCCTGTCGTGCTCTCTCACCCTTACCTCTCATGTACTTAGTTTTTCAAGCTAGAAGTCGATGTTTGTACAGGATTTAATTTTTTTAGTTTACTGACAGTAGGCATACATCTGATAGGAATTTTTGAATTTAAAAGATACTGTCCCTTATATATCAGAACATTTCAAACAAGTTAAATAAATAGGATTTTGACTGGTTTATTTTCGTGGTTGAGTCCTGAATCATAACCAAACTGACTTACATTTGGCTATTTAATAATGAGGTCTTGATTGGGAGTGTTAACCACTTAAGGTAGTATGACAGTATAGCTAATGTTGACTGAAATTCCATTTGTTGTTCGCATGTTACAGAATTTATACTGTGCCCAGTAATAATAATAATAATAATAATTACATTTTATAAGGCTTTTAATTTGTAAGATACTTACGCATTCATTTTCCAATTTGAGCCATATTTCACTCCTGAAAGGAGAAATTTTATGCCCACCCTCCCTATTAGTGAGGAAACTGAGGCTCAGAGGCTACTCATTTGCCCCCAAATCATTCAGCTGATGAGTCATAATTCCAAGAATTCTGATTCCAAAGCCCATTCTCTTTCCAAAACTGCAGTTCCCCATTTTATTGTATTTCTTGGAAGTTGCTCACAGATTGAATATTTTTTGATGATCAATTTGAACTTTTCTTTGACGCCTCTATGTTGACTTGTTAATTGTCTTAATCACTCTGTTGGTGTTTTCTGGGGAGTCGGTGGGTGGGGAGTGAGAGGCCCAGAGGCCACCCAGGGTAGGAGAGAGGAGACAGAAGTGAATCACAGTGTCCAGAAAAAGAAGCTACTTGCCTGCATAGGGGAGGAAAAACTTCCTCCTACCCTCTTAGGTTCTGTGGCTGGGCCTAAGAATAAAACTGACGTAAGGCAGATTAACAGGAGAAAAGCGTACTTTTTTTTTTTTTTTTTCACATACATGGGAGTTTTCAAAAGGAAAATGAAGACCCAAAGAAGCTTTTAGACCAGAAAGCTTACTGAAAGGCCAAGTGGGGATGTGATAAGACAAAGGGACTTAAGTTATACAAATTGTGGGACAGTGACTAGGAAAAAATGGGGAAACTAATGAAAGATAGGAGTTATTTTGGGTTTGGCTGTACAGATCCATTTCGACTTGACTCCCAGTCTCTGGTGATAAGAATGTTCTTCTCTTCCTGGTACAGGAAGAGTACCTTTCTCATGGGAAATTTTATGACCTATTTTAGGTAGAAAAGGAGAGATTAGGGATCCTTTCCTGCATTTGCTGTTTCTTAAGTGCCTTCAGCTCAAAATAACCAATATGACAAAGCAGCATATTTTGGGCTGACATCCTGAGCCCCTTCACCAAACTTGACTAAGGCGAAGCACCCTATTCATCAGAGGATAGAAAGCAGCTTTAATAACTGGCTGGGGAGTACACTTCAGGCAAACCACATGTCAGAAAGGAAAGGGCCAAGAGCTATAAGTCACAAGAGACTCACGTAAAAAGGAAGAAATTAGTGGCTGAGCCAGTGCAGGATATTGTAAAGCCCAGGGCTCACCTGGGTCCAAAGCTGAATATAGATCTTTGATGTACACTATGACTCGGGGCCTCAAAGACTGACCCACGTCAGGAAGAGGTAGGTTCTAAGAAGCAGCAGCATCCATCACCTGGAGTTGGCCTCAGAGCATGGAAGAACGATTTAGCATCCATTCCTGTTAGGGTTGAGACAGGGACACGGGAAGGCTTCATAAACTGAGCCTCCAAGTTAACCTTCAGTTTGCTTTTAAAATTAGTATCATAAAGTGCACTAAATTTGCTTGCTGTTTCATTTGTTTTTCCCTTTGTTTTCTAGCAAAAGATTGCTTTAGAAGAATTCTGATCTCTTTGCTGCACAAAGGGGTAAAATGGGCCAGAAGAGACACAGGCCGTTTCTGTGTTCCTAATGCCCATCCGTGGCGGGTGACCGTAGACTGAGTGTGTGAAGGGGTATTGCAGGCAGAAAGACCTCTGCACCCTTCCCTGGGTTCCTTTCTCAGTCTGCCCCTTTCCTTACTTGAAAAAAAAGTAGATGCTGATTTCTTGTGATTTGGGCCATTCCACTGAACCCCTACCTTGTATTTATAGTAATTCGGTAACATTTGTGTGTTAATAGCCCTATAAAGGGTATCAATTGTGAATTCATCTCCTACCCTCTATTGACATATATGCTGTTGCCCAAATATCTTTGAAGTTTTTTGCATTGTGCCTTTCTCTTGCTGTTACAAATGACTAGAATACTCTCCCCACCATATCTTGGATTATCCAAATTCCCATTCATCTTTCAAGGTCTGGCTTAATGTTGAAGCAGCACAGCTTGTTGAGGGCTAGCTTGGTAGAAATCAGTGAGAATATACCAAGAAGCAGCTGAAACTCAGCAGAAATAATTTGGGGGTCTGTGGGTAGGCAACTGTCCTACCCAACCATGAACTTGGAGGTTCTCCTAGTGCTAAAAGCTAAAGGGTGTATATTTTAAATAGGGAAGGTGTTTTTGTTGCCCATGGCCATCACAAGCTGACTTCACATCTCGTTATTCCCCTCGTCGCCTTATGCTCTGCAGCAGGATTTATCAAGAACAGCACTTGGTGTGGGGGTCAGATTATTCTTTGTTGTGAGAGGCTATCCTGTGCATTGTAGGATATTTAGCAGCACCCATGGCCTCAAGCCTAGATGCCAATTGCACTCCCCTCTGTGTGACAACTAGAAATGAATACAGACATTGCTGAATGTTGGGGTGGGGGAAGGCTGGGAGGGGAGAGGTTAGAAGAAGAGAGGCACTGCAGAATCACTCTGCATTGTGAACCTCAGCTCCACAGGCACAGTGAGTCTCTTCCAGTTCTCCGGATGCAGTGTGTACCTACACACACCTGTATGTAGAATGCCTCTTCTGTTTGTCAGCTTCTAAGCTTTAGCTTTCAAGATCTAGCTCTTCTGTGAACCTTTTTCATCATTCTTGCCAAAACTGTTAGTGCTACTTCTTTGTGCTCCAAAGCACAAAGCTGTAAAATAATTATTTACAGGCTTAAAACTGTATAGAGAGGGCTTCCCTAGTGGCACAGTGGTTAAGAATCCGCCTGCCAATGCATGAGACACGGGTTCAAGCCCTGGTCCGGGAAGATCCTACATGCCACGGAGCAATTAAGCCCGTATGCCACAACTACTGAGCCTGCGCTCTAGAGCCCGCGAGTCACAACTACTGAAGCCCGTGTGGCCTAGAGCCTGTGCTCTGCAACAAGAGAAGCCACTGCAATGAGAAGCCTGCACACCACAACAAAGTAGCCCCCGCTCGCCACAGCTAGAGAAAGCCCACACACAGCCACGCAGCCAAAAATAAGTAAGTAAATTTAAAAAAAAACAAGTGTATAGAGATCCTACTATATACCAGCTATCGTGCTAGGTTCTAGGGATACAGCATTGAAGAAGATAAACATTTCTTGCCTCATGTTGCTCACAGTCCAGCTTCTTATATATCACAAATTATATTTGTAGTTCCCATATAGACTGTGAATTCCTGGAAGGCAGGGACCAAGCGCCGGGTCTTGCTCATCACCCCCTAACTCCTTACATAGTATTTGACATAGTGTTGGTCTTCATAAGTATTTGGTGAATAAAGGAAATAAATAATTTATTGCCCTCTCTGTATCTCCACTCGTATTACCCTAATTCAGGTTCTCTTCATTGCAGATATGAGCTCTTGCCTGTTTCCAAGTAAACTATCCTGACTCCATTTGCCCCCTTTAATCCCACCTTCTACAAAGACGCCAGAATGAGATGTCCAGAATACAAATCTTAGAAGCCATCAGTGCTTCTTGTTGCATCTGGTATTTTAAAGACAAATGTCTGTAACATAGCTGAGTCTGCCCTTTTCTGGTCACTTCCTTCCCTACACTTCTTTCCACCAGTCAGAACAGCCTGTAGCTCTCCGTGATCACCGTGCTATTTCAGACCCCAGAAGCTTTGCTTCTGCTGCTTCCTCTTATCTGCAATTTCCTGTCTTCTACTGGGTAATTCCAACTCATCCTTTAAGATTCAGTTCAAGAATCCATTCTTTCTGGAAGCCCCTTCTGGGCTAACTACCAGACTAAGTTGGGTGGGCCTCCTCTGTGTCCCACCGTGCTAGTATCTACTTGTGATTTCTTAATTGTTAATGGGAATGCCTTCCCAATTCTACAGTGAGTTTCTTGAGAGCAGGACTTAATATCTTTCATCTTTGTATCCCAGGTGTCTAGCACAGTGACTGACAAACAGTAGGCACTTAGATTTTGTTTGAATGAATGAATGTGTGAATGAAAAGCTTAGTAACAGGACCTTTTATTTAAAGTAAAAGTTTCAAATAGAGGCTCTTAATGATCATGTGTTTTATTTTTGCTTTCTACAGACATTGGTATCAACTTGACAGATCCTATGTTCAGAGGAATTTATAGGGGGGTTCAAAAGCATCAAGGTAAATGTTTCTTTTATTAAGGTAAATAGTTTATCTGTGAAGACAAACTTTCTGACTCAAGGGAGACCATAAGAAGCTTCACCCACTCTTACAATTGAAATATTAAAGAATTTATTATGCATCTTGGATAAAACTATAAACAAAGTGAAACACATATAAGCTATATTGGTAAACCATGATCATGAACATTTATAAAATACCTATTACAACAAAGTGTTATCAAGCCCTTCTTATCTGTAGAAGTTTATAACTTTGAATATAGAACTTTAGATAACCATATGCATAAAAGGCAAACCATAAAGCCAAACAGACTTTTCCCCTTTGTGGTCAACAGAATAAAAGTACAATTGAATGGATAACTATTCATCTATTTTGCCTTATATGGGTTTCTTTTTTTTTTAAAGTATCGCTAGGTCTTTGCTTATATGATAAGCACTCATCAAATAGTATTGATTTGACTTCAGTAAATATGATTTTACTATGTATTTTTCTTTCAATAAAGGATAACTAAATTATGGGTAAGTGAATTTTTAGTTACATTTTCTTAATGTGGGGTTCATCTTTTACAGATGACTTACGGGATGTAATAGAGAGAGCTGTTCAGATTGGTGTTAAAAAGGTAACATTTCATTTTTGTTATCCTTATGGTTTTTTTTAAAAAAAACTAAATTTTGGTTAAAATACTGCAGAAAAGAAGAGAAAGCCAAACCACATTTAGCATTTTGTGATATGTATTGTCAACATGTAATATTAGCAAGTTAATGAAATAAAATATCAAAATATTCTGTTCTCAGGAACTTAAGTGACACAGACCTTGTGAGTGGATCTTCCATGTGATCAGAAGTGTAGTAATGGCCAAGTCTCCCTGGAAAAGTTTTTTAAAACCCATCTAAATTACCAGGCTTCTTAAGAGGCAACTGTTAGTAGATTTTGTAACAATTTAGCGTTTGTTAGAAGTAAGCAATCATCAAAAAGACATGTATCTAATCACCAAGTTTAGCTTTTATACTATGTATAACATTTCAAATAACTGAGAGAACACTTTAATTTTTATGGTGGTAATTTGATAGGAGAATTCCTACTACTTTTAGAGTGTTCTAAGCAAAAGAATTTTAGTTTGGTGTCAAATTTTTTGAATAGATATTTCTTTTTAATCAGTATTTTTTTTAAGTAGCAAGCTAGCCCACACATGCACACAAGAAATAAGATTAAGTTCCAAAGGGGACTTCCCTGGTGGTCCAGTGGGTAAGACTGCACGCTTCCAAAGCAGGGGGCCTGGCTTCGATCCCTGGTCAGGGAACTAGATCCCACATGCAGCAACTAAACCCGCATGCCGCAACTAAGACCCAGCGCAGCCAAATAAATAAATATTAAAAAAAAAAAAAAAAAAAGATTAAGCTCCATAGTGTATCAGGGCGCTTAGTAGCTACTGTTTCTAAGTTAAATAAACCTCCGTTTTAAAAAGTGATACTCCTGGCTAAATGAGTTCTGCAGTCTCCAACTCTAAAATTGTATTAGTTATTATTCAGAAGTAGTAAGGATAAAAGTTACAACATAATTTCTCATTATGTGGTCATTCTTTGCTTGGTAAATCACTTTATAAAATGTTTTTCTGCAAACTCTGAAATACCAAGCTCCTAAATTTTGTCAACTGAAAAAAACTGCACAACCTAAAGCTTGAGAATTATGTTTTATTTGGCATACTTGCTGAATTACCAGGCTTCTTAAGAGGCAACTGGTAGTTGCCTAATCCTCTCAGGTGGCTCTGAGGGACTGCTCCGAAGAGGTAAGGGAGGAGCCAGGATATATGGGAGTTTCGCCAAAAAAAACCAAAACAACAACAAAAAAACAGGTAGTGGAACATCAAAAGATGACTCCTAATTAAAGAAAAAAAATCTCAAGTTAATGAATTTAGCACTTTTCTACATAAGGGAAGATGCAAGAGTCTGGGCTCATTGAAATCGTTCCTTTGATGTGCACCTTCACTATCTAGAGCAAGTATCCTGTTTTTCGCCATCCTGATTCCCCTCGGTGCACAGTCTGAGGCGGCTGCAGTGGCTGAGGGCTTGATGACCATAACATCCTTTGTTGACTGATATGGCAGGAGACATTTTTCGTAGATAGTTTTCGTGTGTCATCCATGAATAGTTTAATCTTAACATTTATAACACCCACATGGATTTAGGAATGATAGAACTGAAGAACTGAAATCAAATTTACTTGGACATGGTTCCAAATTGAAATTTAATCCAGTACCTTGTAGCTTTATGGTAGTGATTAAAAGCACAGTTACGGCATCACAAACCTTGGTTCCAGCCCCAGCTTCCTTCTTCAGAGCTTTGTAACCTGTAACATCTCTCTAGACTTCAGTTTTCTCATCCCTAAATCAAGAATGACAATAATAGCTAATAAACAGAATTGTTGTGAAGATTAAATAAAATATAGGATGCAAAGCAGTTGATATTGTACCTGGCATAAAGTAAGCAACATTTATTATGTTTATAGTGGAAGCTGTCATTGTCGTCATCATCATCGTCGTCATCGTCGTAAACTGGGAGAGGAAAGTATATGTCCCCTAGTCTTGTCCTTACTTTTTCATCTATTTGGGAAAGTTACAGGTAAAATAAAAGGTAGATTTGATTACAGACTATTTTACATAATTGAAAACTGGATGTGGGCACCTGATCCTTTTTTTTTAATTTTTATTGGCATACGGTTGATTTATAACATGTTTCAGGTGTACAGCAAAGTGAATCAGTTATACATATATCCACCCTTTTTTAGATTCTTTTCCCATATAGGACATTACAGAGTATTTTATTTTAATTAATTAATTTATTTTTGGCTGCGTTGGGTCTTCGTTGCTGTGCGCAGGCTTTCTCTAGTTGTGGCGAGCGGGGGCTACTCTTCATCGTGGTGCGTGGGCTTCTCATTGCAGTTGGTTCTCTTGTTGCGGAGCACGGGCTCTAGGCACACAGGCTTCAGTAGTTGTGGCATGCGGGCTCAGTAGTTGTGGCTCGCGGGTTCTAGAGCGCAGGCTCAGTAGTTGTGGCACACGGGGTTAGTGGCTCCGCGGCACGTGGGATCTTCTGGGACCAGGGATCGATCCTGTGTCTCCTGCATTGACAGGCGGATTCTTAACCACTGCGCCACCAGGGAAGTCCCCACCTCATCCTTTATTAAAGAATTAGGTAGTGTTAGTAAACAATAGTTTTCTCAATATTTTTGTTAATAATATACTATGTTTTACAGGCAGAATAGATACTCAGTGTCTATCATTTCAGAAGTTTATCACTCTGTGAAAATGTCTGTTTATCATTTGCACTATCTCCTGTGTTTTCTGTGTGTTCTATTTACGTGTGTACCTAGATGAATTCTTCATTTTAGCTCAGTGAGTCTCTTGAAGTATGCTTTAAAAAATATACCTCAGTGTGTTTAAATCACTTCTTCAGAAGAATGTGCACTTAAGCAGCACTGCCTCAGTAGTCACCATCAACACATAGCTCTTTAGTGACATTTTCCCTTAAACAGGTTAGCAAAGATGCTGTTCTAACTGCAGTGGACTCTGATAGCTACCTCTGTAGAAGGGCTTCCTTGCCAAGAGCTATATATTTCCCTACAAAGAATTTTATCAGTATACATTAATCTAGTGATTGTCAAACTTGGCCTCAGAACTCCTTCATATTAAGATTATTGAGGACCCTAAAGAGCTCTTATGTGGGTTCTATCTATTGATATATATTGTATTAGAGATTAAAACAGAAAGTTTTAAATGCAGTTGTCTTTGAATAACACTGGTTTGAACTGTGAGTTCACTTAGACACAGATTTTTTTCCAGTAGTAAATACTACAGTATTACGTGGTCTGAGGTTGGGTGAATATGTAGATGTGGAACCCCGATACAGAGGGCCGACTATAAGTAATATACAGATTTTCAACGGCGCCCCTAACCTCCACATTGTTCAAGGGTCAACTGTATCTATATATTAATTCATTTTAAAACAGTAGACCATTATGTAAAATAAATAGCATATTTTTATGACAAGTATTTTCTAAACCAAAAACATTTAGTGACATGAGTAGAATTTGTATTTTTTTTAATATCTTTTAAATGTCTGACTTAATAGAAGACTGCTGAGCTTTCATATCTGTTGCTGCAGTCCCTTGTGATGTTACACATCATGTAGCCTCTGGAATACTTGACTGCACACGCGTGACAGGTGACAGTGAATAGGCAGATAACATCTTAGTATTATTATGATAATAGTTTTGACCTAACATATCCCCTGGAGAGTCCAGGACCACACCTGGAGAACTGTTTAGTCAACACTATTGAATCTCTAATTTAGATTAACAGAATTCTAAATTCAGAAGCTTTTAGTTATTCATTCTTTCCTAATGTGATCTCTGTCCTCAAGAAATTCGTGGTCTAATAGGAAAGACAGACATGTGAATACATTTTAGTAGGAGTCACAAATTCTTTGTAGTGTGTGTATGTGTGTGTGCGTGCGTGCGCACGTGGAGAGGGTATTCAGGATCCACTCTGCACAGGAGGTGATCTTTTAGCTGAATTTTTAAAGGAGGGTTGGTATGTGACAGAGAGAGAAGCATTCTGGAAAAAAGCAGCAGCAAAGCACGTTTGGGAAACTGTGGTTGACACTCTGTTAAAGTGGACTTATTTCTTTCTGTTTCAGTTTGTGATTACAGGTGGAAATCTACAAGACAGTAAAGATGCACTGCATTTGGCACAGACAAATGGTATCCTCATATTACTTTTACCCCCCAAAATGTGAATTAAGTTATTTTGAAGAAGTCTTTCTGAGAACTGCCTCAGGTACAAATACTGTAGACACAACAGGAAGATAGACCAATTTCAGTGCGACATGATTAAGATGAAAAAATTGAAAGTGCCCATTGTTATATCAGATGCTTGATGAACGCTCTTGTATTTAATAAGGATTAAGATTTCAGTTAATGAGAATTAAGTTCACTAGGCATAAAATTTAACCTCAGATATTCCTGATGTAGAATTTTTGTGTATATGCCATAATGTGTTTAAGATATGAGTTGCTTTTTATTTGCTCTTTTTTAGCTTAGGCTGTGAAAGATCATTTATCATTTATAAATATTTATAAATATTCATCATGCAGATCAGAGACACTGTGCAAGGCCCCAGGAATGCAAATAATAATATAATATATAATCCCTCATATGCTCACTTTATGTTCATATATTTGCATTTATTTAAAGTCTGTAAAGTTTTAGAGTTGATTCCTACAAGAATCCTAGTTACATAAAACACCTCCTTTACCTGGCATTCATGTACCTAACCTTTTTTTGGTTTGTTTTTTTGCTGGGGAGCAGCAGGGAGCATACTTCATGTGCTAGACACTGAAGAATTAGGCATTCCATGTTATTTTTCAAAATACTGGTTTATTCATTAAAAGCTGTTTTTTATTGAAATCTTTCTAAAATGCATACTTCTCTTCAGGATCCACTGACACTTTTTCTTAGTGATTAAAGTCATAAAAATCATCATCTTCCCAGAAGCTTTTGATGTGTATAAGAATATTATCTTGCATACTTGTTATTCCCCAAACAGATACGCCTTTAAAAGTTCTCGGATCTCCATTGTCAACCCTTTTCCACTCCTCTGCATATACCTGCTACCTCACGGCTTTAAAAGCTCCTTTTATGCATGAACATATTCGTGGGAGCCTGAGGAAGGCAACAGGTCTCTCCCATGGGTTCATCAGGTGCAAGCGCCTTAAGCTTCTTAAGCCCTTTTCAACCTCACACTTGTGTTCCATACAATTAAGATACCAAAGTACAGCCTCCAAATAAGTGAGCTTTATTTTCTATTAGAAAAGTGAATCCTACTTCCACCTCTGTTACCCTTTTTAAGGGAAAGGAATGCATTTTAACTGTTAATACATGAAACCTGAGTCACATAAACAGTGAATATTAAAGATAAAATTGTAGAATGAAATGTCATTACCTAAGAAATTGTTTCATTTTCCATTCAAAAGGCTCAGTAAATACCAAACTTTGGAAGAGTTGAATTATTTTTACCAGTACATTAAGGCAATTTTCATATTCATGTCCTACTTTGTTAGTATTCCAAAAATTCTTACGTGATTAACCCAGTGCAATTCTGGTAGTTTGACTAGTTTATGGGTATTGTTAAAAACTGACCAGTTGAAATTATTTGATATTATATCATTTTTGCATATTAAATATAAATATGAAAAAATATTTTGAAAATAATCCTAAGACATTATTTTGTGCTAGATATGTTTTTCAGTACAGTTGGGTGTCATCCTACAAGATGTGATGAATTTGAAAAGAATAACCCTGATCTTTACTTGATGGAGTTACTAAATCTTGCTGAAAACAACAAGGGGAAAGTTGTAGCAATAGGGGAATGTGGACTTGGTAAGTGCCAACTTATCCCGTTAGAGTGACTTTGTTTGAAAATAATTGATTTGTTGTGTACAAGTCATGAGTAATTATTGATTCTTTTTTATCTTTTAAAGATTTTGACCGACTGCAGTTTTGTCCTAAAGGTACTCAGCTCAAGTAAGGAAATTTGTTGTCTTTAGAAATTATCGTATTGTAAAATCTTAAGGGTGATTTTTAAGTAGATTTTATCAGTTCAGAATGTAGTTAGATTAAGCGTGAGGGTTTTTTTGTTTTTCCCTTTGTATATTAAAAGTTAAGTGAAACAAATTCCATGCGTCCTTGAATGGAATTCATAAGGTATGGAAGCATATAGTTCCCTAATTGTTTAAGCATTTAACTTGATTTTAATGGTAGAAACAGGGATGAGTTTACGTGATAGACTTTCGATTTTTGTTTGTTTAATAAGAGCATTCATACATGAACCATTCCAATAAAATGAATTAAATTCAGTTGTGGGGCATATGATTTAAGAGTAAAAGATATTATTAATAAAAAGAGATTATAGGATCAATCACCAAAGCTAGAAAAGCATATTTTACTCTTGCTGGGTGTTGAATATTGTCAGTTTGGAACCTGAGAATCCTTTCATAGGATCCATGTTGGGAGTGGTGGCTTCTGAGAAAACTCCAAGCTCACAAGCCTCAGAGACTTCTTACAACCCATTGCCTGTAGCTGTTAGTTGGAACTCCTGTCACCAGACTGGTGGGTAGTGTTGAAGGGTGAAAAGAAAAATTATGTTATAGGCTTAATTTAAGACATAAGCATTTTGTTGAATTTCAAAAACAGTGTATTAATTGTCAAGATGGTAAAACATTAAAATGAGTTTCTAAAGGAGGCTAATTTAGTTATTCATCTATTCAGCAAATATTTATGGAGTAATATGTGCTAGAAACTGCTGGGAACTCATAGTATACTCATAGTATACAAAACTATGAATAAGGTATAGTATCTGCTCCTGGAGCCATTTAAGAATAAACAACCCTCCATCCTGCTTAGTTTCTCATACATGAAAGAGGAGTCTGGATCAAATTCTCTCAAGATACCATCTAGCTGTCTCATAATATTTAATAATTAACTATTTCTTGTCATATGATCTTGATTAAGCCAGTGCTTGATGGCCTGAAGGGACTTTTTAAACCATACCTGCCAGAAGTGTACTTCCTCCCACTCCCTCCCCTGCCCACACACGCAATCCCAGTGTGACTGGTCCAGGTGAAAGTGCCCCCAGTGAGGCGCAGATTGACCAGTGAGCCTGTCGTACCCTGGACTTCAGGGTCCAGAATTCCTGAAGGACCATAACCAAGTGACACAGGATGGGTTAGAGTAATGTTCTATGGACTCTTGCTTTCAGGCTTCACAGTTATAGAACCTTTCAGAGCTGTTTAGTTAGCAGCATATTATTTGCCGTGTTTTTCAGGGACATTCACGTGATTACTGGCAGGATTATTAAATCTCTGTACCCCTCTCGAATATCATGTAGGTCAGTTCACTTAACCTTAAAAGTTCACATATTCACATTTAAAAAGAGAAACAGTTGGCTGTAATACCTTCTTTGGTTAAGCCCACACATCTTAATTCCTCCACTTTCATGTCTGTTTTTGGCCAAGATGAGCCTCGTGAGGCAAACAGATTGTGTGGTGTGACCATCAAGGACAGTGGCAGAGTCCTCCATATGACTTTTCATCCAGATGACTTAAACTGATTCTAAAATGCAACTTAAATACTTTAAACCTGATCTGTGTGTGTGTTTAATGAAAACATTGATAGTATCAGCTCTCTTTTACTGCTCCATCATCTTCAGATCAGAACTTAAAACGATGTATATATAGCAGTATATAGTTTATGCTTCAACACACGTGCCAGTTGTCCAGATGTTGATCTGTAATAGAGTTGAACTCCATTGATTAAGTGAATGATTACCAAGTGTCTCCTCAGTCTGATACAAAGAAGAATAAGTGCCTCTACAGATAAGAGAGGACATAAATAATTAAAACAGGTTGGAAAGTGCTATCAAAAAGGCATGTGAACAGCAGAGGGAAAGACTCACTTTCTAGGGGGAGTCAGAAGGCTTTGCTAAGGTGACGGGATGTGACCTAGGCCTCTTCCAGAACAGGTAAGGCTAAGGACGAATTAAAGTACAGTAGAAATTTTGAATAGATGGGCAGTTGAGTTTGAAATTTCATTTTATTATAGATCATCAAATGACTTAGTGAGTAAAAGAGTGACAAACCAGTAGTAATTGCATTTGGATTGTTGTTATGGAAACATATACCCATGTCTTCTACCTTTGCTCCCTCCTTTCCTATAGCATGTACTAACAGCATCACCCCTATTCTCTGCCACACAGCACTCTGTACTTGTTTCAGCATTTCTCACATTGTAATAAAAGTGTTTGTGTTACCACTTCCGCTCCCACAACAAACTAGTGTCTCTGAGTTCTTCAAAGGCACAGACCAAGCCTTCCTCATGTTCTAGTTCCTATGGCGCCTAGCACAGTACTCTTAGCACATCGTAAATGTGCACTGAACTTTTAATAATAAGGAAAGTGTCTTTTTGATTCCTGTAGAGCATGATGGATAAAAAGCCTATAATTCAGCTTTTACTGTTGAGTCTGTTGAAAGAATTTAGATTTTGGTCTGTGCTTATATATGCCAGTTGTCCATCTGAAACAATTAACTAGTGTGCGATTGTCACTTTTGTTTTACTTTTTAAGTAAAAACGTATAGTCAAAAAAAAGACCTGTGAGAAGAGAAAAATAGAAAATAAATTAGTATAATGGATTAGGAGGCAAGACCGAAGAAACACCCACCACTGTGCAATAGACAAAGTATCTGAAAAATAATGGTAAGTAAAGGCAGTAGATAACATAGTATTAGAAGACCTTTGGAATCAACAGATCTTTAGGTTTGAATCATAACTGCCTTTTGGTACCTATATATTCCTTTGTAAATCTCAATTTCCTCATCTTTAAAATGGGGATAATACCGCCTGCCTTTCTTAACATTTAGTACGTAAAGCCATTGTGCCGTGCCCGGCACAGAGTCAGAGCTCCATAAATTGTGGCTGTTGTATTATTCTTAGAAATACTGCCAACCTAAAGGAAGCTACTGGCTATAGTTTCTGTGTGGGATTTTTGAAAAGTGCTTTTTAAAGAGCAAAAAGAGAAGAAAAGCAAGAAGACAAGGAAAAGACCTGATTTAGTTATGGAAAGGTTAGCCTTTAGGCATACCTTGTATTTTCAGTTTCTCTGCTTTGTGCTACTACACTCCTTTCCTTGTTGCAAGTTAGAGTTCTGTTCACTTGAGTGGGAGGCATTTGCTTTGGGCATTTTTCTTGGGGTTACTACTGTGCAGGTCTTTTTCTTTTTTTTTAGTCAGACATCAGACAAAATTTCAAAATAATCATTTGCGGATTTAGGAAACCTCAGAGATGATGGCAAGGAGCCTCAGTCTCTCCTCTGGCTTAGAGGAGGGAGTAACACTGGGTTCAGGTGCGCTGCTGGAACGCTTTGGGTCTTCTGGAGTTGCCTCAGTCCAACTTACAGGCATTCCTCTGAGATATCGGGGGTTCAGTTCCAGACCATCTCAATAAAGCCAGTCACAGGAATGTTTTGGTTTCCCAGTGCATATAAAAGTTATGTTTACGCTATACTGTAGTCTGTTAAGTGTGTGATAGGATTATGTGTAAAAAAACCATGTACAGACTTTAATTAAAAAATACTTTATTGCTAAAAAAATGCTAACCATCATCAGAGACTTCAGCGAGTCAGTCTTTGTGCTGGTGGAGGGTCTTGCCTCAGTGTTGGTGGCTGCTGACTGATCAGGGTGGTGGTGCTGAAGCTGGGCTGGCGGCGGCAGTTTCTTACAATAAGACAGCAGTGAAGTTTGCTGCTTTGATTGACTCTTCCTATCACGAACTATTTCTCGGTAGCCCGCGATGATGTTTGATAGCATTTTACCCACAGTAGAACTTCTTTCAAAATTGGAGTCAGTCCTCTCAAACCCTGCCACTGCTTCATCAACTAAGTTTGCCATGTCATTTCAACAGTCTTCACAGTATCTTCACCAGGAGTAGATTCCATCTCAAGAACCCACTTTCTCTGCTCATCCATAAAAAGAAACTTCTCGTTCCTTAAAAGTTTTATCATGAGATTGCAGCAATTCAGTCCCATCTTCAGGCTCCACTTCTAATTCTAGTTCTCTTGCTGTTTCCATCACATCTGCAGTTACTTTCTCCACTCAAGTCTTAAACCCTTCAAAGTCATCTATGAGTGTTGAAATCAGCTTCTTCCAAACTCCTGTTAATGTTGATATTTTGACCTTTTCCCACGAATCACGAATGTTCTTAATGGCATCTAGAATGGTGAATACTTTCCAGGTTTTCAATTTACTTTGCCCAGATCCATCATCTGTGGCAGCTATAACCTTACAAAATGTTTTTCTTAAATAAGAAAACGAGAAAGTAAAAATTACTCCTTGATCCATGGGCTGCAGAATGAACGTTGTGTTAGCAGGCACGACAACAACATGAATCTCATTGTACACCCCCAGCAGAGCTCTTGGATGAATGGGTGCATTGTCAATGAACAGTAATATTTTGAAAGGAATCTGAGCATTAAGTCTCAACAGTATGCTTAAACTATTCAGTAAACCATGTTGTAAACAGATGTTCTGTCATCCAGGCTTTTGTTATTCCATTTATAGAGCACAGGCAGAGTAGATTTAGCATAATTCTTAAGGGTTCTAGGATTTTCAGGTTGGCAGATGAGCATAGGCTTCAACTTAAAGTCACCAGTTGCATTAGCCCCTAACAAGAGAGTCAGCCTGTCCTTTGAAGCCAGGCAATGACTTCTCCTCTCTAGCTATGAAAGTCCTAGATGGTATCTTTTTTCAACTTAAGGCTGTTTCATCTACATTGAAAATCTATTGTTTGGTGTAGCGACCTTCATTCATTATCTTCACTAGATCTTCTGGACACCTTGCTACAGCTTCTACATCAGCACTTGCCGCTTCGCCTTGCACGTTTATGTTATGAAGATGGCTTCTCTCCTTAAACCTCATGAACCAACCTCTGCTGGCTTCAAACTTATCTCCTAAAGCTTCCTCACCTCTTTCAGCCTTCATAGAGTCAAAGTTAATTAGGGCCTTGCTCTGGATCAGGCTTTGGCTTAAGGGAATGTTGTGGCTGGTTTGATCTCATATCTAAACTACTAAAACTTTCTGCATGTCAGCAGTAAGGCTGTTTTGCTTTCTTATCATTTGTGTGTTCACGGGAGTAGCACTTTGAATTTTGTTTCGGAACTTTAACTTTGCATTCACAACTTGGCTGACTGGCTCAAGGGGCCTAGCTTTTGGCCTGTCTTGGCTTTAAACATGCCTTCCTCACTAAGCTTAAACATTTCTAGCTTTTGATTTAAAGTGTGAGACATGAAACGCTTCCTTTAACTTGAACACTTAGAGGCAATTCATTGTAGTGTTATTAGTTGCTTAATTTCAATGCTGTTGTATCTCAGGGAATAGAGAGGCCCAAGGAGAGGAAGAGAGACCAGGGAACACGCTGGTAGGTCAGAACACACAGAATATTTGTTAAGTTCGCTGTCTGGTATGGGCAAGGTTTGTGGCTCTCCAAAACAATTGCTATAGTAACATCAAGGACCACTGATCACAGATACAATAATGAAAATACAATAATACAATACAAATGCAATAATGAAAAAGTTTGAAATATTGCAAGACTTGCCAAAACGTGACACAGAGACACAAAGTGAGCGAATGCTGTTGGAAAAATGGCGCCGATAGACTTGCTTCACGTAGAGTTGCCACAGATCTTCAATTTGTAAAAACAAACAAAAAAACAGTATCCAAGAAGCTCAGTAAAACAAGGTATGCCTGTAATAACAGCTGGTACTCTGAAGTTGAACTTTTCAAGCCCTGACCTTAGCTATTGTTGACCCTAAAATGTAAGAAGCAGTAATATTTACAATCAGAAGCAAATTACAGCTTTGCTAAAGTAAGCAAATCTAACTCAAAGAATGATTCTCATTTATGAATTTTTAAAAATCTTAAAAGAAGCAGAGAAGTCTCTTAATAGGTGCCACTGGACTTCCCTGATGGCGCAGTGGTTAAGAATCCACCTGCCAGTGCAGAGGACACGGGTTCAAACCCTGGTCCAGGAAATTCCCACATGCCTCGGAGCAGCTAAGCCCGTGCGCCACAACTACTGAGCCTGCGCCCAGAGCCTGCGTGCCACAACCACTGAGCCCGAATGCCACACGCCTAGAGCCCGTGTTCTGCCGCAAGAGAAGCCACTGCAATGAGAAGCCCGTACACCACAACGAAGAGTAGCCCCCGCTCGCCGCAATTAGAGAAAGCCTGTGTGCAGCAGCAAAGACCCAATGCAGCCATAAATAAATAAATAGATAAATAATAAATAAATCAATAAATATTTTTTTAAAAACACCTGTGTGTGCCACTTCCTGCCCTTTAGCTTCTGTTTTTATTCCTAGTTACCGTAGTGGGTTGTTTTTTCTTTAAAGACCCTAGTCATTGGATGTTAAGTACCAATTATCCTCAATTTGTATTACTGGGAATGATTTTTTAACCACATGGTTTTCTTATGATACCTAGCTGGCTTGAGCACGTCGACCTTTTCTTTTCTCATATAAAATTCTGTAAGCACGTTGCTTGGGTATCTGTTATTTTCATAAATTGTACTTTTGCCTACTCTGCGATAGGAAGGCTTATTTCCAAGCTGATCATTAGATTCTGTACATCTGTGGCTTGGTTGTATGGCTGTGTGTAGCCAGAAGCCAAATACAGAGTAAAGTTTACATAATGACTGGAGAGCACTTAACTGCTGACATTTGAATTACTTTAGAGGTTATGGAAATAGTGACCAGTAGTAATTATTAAAATATTTTGTCCCAGTGTTCGTTTATATTTCCTACACTGTGAAGTTTCAGCACCATGCTAACTAAAAATATTTTTGCTTATTCTAGTCCAGCAGAATCTGAAAAAAAAAAATTGGATAATAAAGACATAGACCACCAATTTTAGGATGACTATTTCTTTGAGAAGTACATTTCTATTTCTAATTTTAAAATGTAGCATTTTCAAGAGTTTTACAAAGCGGGTACTCTTAGGAAAATAGTTGTCTGGCACTTCAAGGAGACAAGATATAGGAAAACACAGCAAAAGAGATTTAAGTTATACACGGAGAAATTGTTCCCCCAAATTAGGGGCCTAGAAGAGGTAAACCCCTTAAGAAAATAATATGACACCTATTGTCTGTAACTCCTGGTTTAGCTTAAACTACATGACCATTAATGAGAACGAGAGGGAACACTGCTGAAATGAAGACACACAGAACTCCCACCCTGTCATGTCCTCTGGATATTGTCCTTAAATGCTGGGACCAGGAAGAGGCTTCTTGAAAGCCTCTTGTGTGTTGTGATCTTGGACAAGGTCTTACACTCCTCTGACACCAGCTCTTGTCCTATCTATCCTAGGGTTATTTTGAGGATTAGATGAGACAATGGTATAAGGCACTTAAAACTCTTTTTATAAAGAACTCTAAAATGTTCAGGACTGCCATTTTATCATGTAATTTTCATTTTTCTGAAAAATAGAGTATTTCAGTTTTTGTGCTCATTTGTTTCATAAATTCTTTGTGTTTAGTTTTTAAGGGAATCCTTCTTTTTGCTCAGTGGCAATAACTCCTTGTATAACAGCACATAGAAAACACTGAGTAGAAGTGGCTTCTCACTGGAGTGAGTTGATGCCCACTGGTGGTGCTCAGCCAGCTCTCGGGACAAGGGGCTGGCCATGTCTTTTCGGCCACCAACACATGCTTCGGGGAAGGGATCCCACGGGTGATAGGAGGGTGTCCACTCCATTTGTTGGGATTTAGTCAGAAAGCTAGTTAAAAGTAATTATTTGGGGGAACAGTCTCCATCACTGTAAACTTAAACCTTACAGCTCTTTACTTCTAGCGATCAATGGTAAAGTGCTACCTAATTTACCTGGCAGTTACAATGGAAAAACTAACAAACATTTCTGAAAATAATTTTGTAATCCCAGAAAATGAAGTAACCCTTTCAGGAAGTTTTTATAAAAGCTTTTGGCTAGGCCTGATGTGTTTTAAATGCCTGAATTCACTATTTCTGTTCTATCATTTCTAGAGAATAAAAGCCCTTTAACTTAAAAAAAAAATCATTTGACAATTATTTTTCTCATGCTAAAATAAAATTTTTAATGAGGAAATTTTTTTTTCCATTTTGCAGATATTTTGAAAAACAGTTTGAACTGTCAGAACAAACAAAATTACCAATGTTTCTTCATTGTCGGAACTCACATGCTGAATTTTTGGGTGAGTTAAAGCTAAAATCTCATTTAAAATTTAAGAATTTGCAGATATCAAGCTATTTGCTAAAGCTGAAATCTCATTTAAAATTTAAGAATTTGCAGAGATCAAGTTGTTTCTGTTTTAAATTCACAGACATAATGAGAAGGAATAGAGATCGGTGTGTAGGTGGAGTGGTAAGTATAGAAACTGCTTTTAATAAATGATGTTGGCCTCTATAAAGTGATTCAGATGTCAGCAATAAAGTTACGAAGGTTCTGCTCTCTCTTATTAGAAGGGCATATAAATTTACTGTTAAATCTATAGATCAGATATGGTACAAACATAAACCACACTATTTTAGTTACATTTACTTTGTTCAGAGTACAAGAATGAGTACAGAATTCTGTTCACAAGAAAACCCTGTGAATTTAGTCCTGCACATTGTAATAGTCTGCATGATCTTCTTTTTCTCCACTTCCTCCATCAGCCGTTCTTTAGTGTTCTTCAATTTAAATTTTGAGCAAAATATAAACGAAATTTAATAATATTTTAAAATATTTTAGCACTCTTTTCAGGTTTGCCTTCTTAATTTCTTGTCAACTATATTTATTTACTATTACCACTCTGATTAGAGACACATTCTCATTTCTGTAGTCTGCTTCTGCTCGAAACACTTCTCTATGGTCATTTCAGTCATTAGTCTTGAGAAAGTTCCATAAATAGTATCTGTGTATCACTTAGCTTGGGTATCCATAGCAGTGATTTTTAATTTTTTTTTTTTGGATCATGGACTCCTTTGAAAATCTGCCTCAGAAAAATGCTCATATGTACAATTTTCACATGTAATTTTAGGAGAGACTCACTGGTCTCCAGCAAAAAAGCTGTTATCCACATGTAAGTGGACTTTCTCAGTTCAGGCCTGTGTTGTTAAAGGGTCAGCTGTAGTTTAAAAAACTTAACAGCAACAACAAATCCAACCTAAATGTTTGACTTTTATCAAAAGAAAATTGCCAAATAAAGAATTAATAACTAATTTTCTAAAATGGTTTATGAGGGTCGTATTTAAAATTATCTTATATTGATGGAGGCTATGTTTTCCTTCTAGTCAGCTGGAAGTGCTGAGGGGAAGAACAAACCCTTTTGAGCAGCTGTGTAACAGTTATTTTTGAGAAACATGTTACCCACAGTGTATTCAGACTCTCTGGATGCTATATTAATGTGACTTCACTTGTTAGGTGTGTTTAAAGGAGTCTTGTCACTTATGATTACATAAATACATCTGAAGTGTGAAAATTTTTGCTTTAACTCCTTTATCTTTGAAGGAGAAAAATTCCATCTCAACCCTTTTTGCTTGCTGAGCTGATATTATTGACTGTGTAACAATTTACAGTTTCTAAGCAATGTTCTTACAATCTCTTTATACATCTTAAATTTTTCTCTTAAAATTCACTTCTAGAAAAAAAAAAGCATCCTGTAACAAAAAAATTGAACATTTAAAAATATTTTTTAAATAGTCTTGTAACATTTTACCTTTTCCTCATGCTTTTGCCTAGAATGTGGCTCTCTCCTCCAGTCCCCTTTCCTGGAGGTACAGCAGTAGTGCTGGTGCAGAGACCTCAGCACAGCCACAGACAGAAATTCTAGGCAGCCGTCTCCTTCTTGCCTCATCACATTGGAGATGACAGGTTATAATTGTGAAATTTGATTTGAAAATAAAAATTGTAGGGGCCACATTTGAAACCCCATGTTCAAAAAACCCCTACTGCGTTTGTATTTTTGCTTAGACAGTCCTATTAATGTTATTTAGAATTTTAAAGAAAATTAATTATTATAATAAAAGTACGCCTTCATGTCCTTAGGTGCATTCATTTGACGGTACCAAGGAAGCAGCAGCTGCTTTGATGGACTTGGGTCTCTACATAGGATTTAATGGTTGGTAGGTCCTTGAGTTCTTTGGTTTTCGTTTTTTTAACTTTTATAATTAAGCAGATTCCTTAAACTGTTTTATAGGGAATTACTGATAAAGATTTAAATTTGTTTTTATTAAAATTTATGTGTTCTGCATTGACCTTGGTCTGTGAATTTTAGTGATAAATGTAAGAAATTAAACAGTATGTTACTATTACAAATTAAAGCTTGAAAGCTATAAACTGCTATCCTGTGTTCCAGTGATGGAAAACAATTTTCTGTTGAGGTTAGCAGGTACCTTTCTCTAGCAATGCAGTTTATTCTTGGATCAGTTTATCCCTTTAAAACGTATGTGTTCACAGCATTGCATATACATATACACAAGTGATGTCCACCTATGGGGGAAAGGTCATACTATGACATAATCGTCTTCTGTATCTCTGTAGGCCAAGAAACTGAGGCTCAGAGAAGTTAAGAAACAGGTGTAAAGTCACTCAAAGTGTGAGAACCTGTAGCTTCTTCCTCACTTGGTGACCTTCCTGCTGTTATACACACTAAACCTCATGCACCCAGTACAGTCTGCTAGTACAGCTGGGTCCCTGGGTTCATTTTCTTCCAAATAATTTGGTGAGCTTCTACCAGTGTCTTTCCTCAGGTTATCAGTGTAGCTCATGAAATAAACTGCAAAATAAATTGCAAAAAGTAAGACTTCCTTTCCCTCTTCAGTGTTTCATTTCCTTAAAATCACTACTTTTCCAAGTACTTTTTATTTTTTTTATTTTATTTTATTTTTTTTACTAAACTCCACTTTGGAATATAGAATCATGAAATTAATTATTTGCTATAGAGTTCAGACTTATTTAAATGTTCTAGATGCTTCTTTCATATTTTAAATAAATTGATGATTTAATTAATTTATATATTAATATGGAAATAATGCATGCATAAAGTAGTATTAAAAGACTTATAAGCACAGTCTCCCAGCATGCCATCTACCCCAAGTTAATTTTTCCAGAGCCAACCACTTTACTCTTTATCACCTTGTATCTAAATATTACATATATGCTATTAACTCTTAATTCATTCCCTTTGTCTATTCCCATTAAGGTGTTTGAGCACTTTAGTTCTTTATCCAATACTGCCCCCCCACCTCCATTATTTCCTCTATAGCCCTCTCAATGTAGTTATTTGAGAATTTTTGGTTATATGCATATTACGTGTTTTCATTATTATGTCTGTGTAAAATATTGTTGACTGCTGAACCACGTGACGTACCACTTTTTTATTTTCCTGGAGTAACTTTCCTCATATTTTTATTTACTTGGCTTTCTTCAAAACTTGAAGCCTTCTTCAAACTTTTCAACAACTCTGTAAAATGCTTTTTTCTATTTTTCCACATAAGGAAACCTGTGTGGATAATCAGATAATTCGTTAGTTCCTGACCCTTCTATCTTTCTGCTACAGTTTGGACTAGTGTCTTTTCTGTGACAGAACTCCTATTTTTAAATCCCATGTATTCTATTTTGTTTTGATGGAACACATGTTTGCAAATGAATTAATTCTCTTCATCTTGAAAGTTTACCTGGATAGTCAATGAAAGGGGAAAAAAGAAAAACATACTTTCACTTGGTATTTTTTCTAGGCATAAAATTCTAGATTAGAGATCATTTTCACTGAGGATTTACAATATCCCAGTTCTAGGTTCCAGTCTCTATTCTGTTTCCCAGTACATTACCTGTGACATACTTCTTTCCCTGTGGAATATTTTAGTTATTTATCTCTGGTATTATCAAAATGTGCAAAGGTGTTTTGATGGGTTTTTGTCATTCTCCACTGGCCCCTTCCAGCTAGAGGCTCATCTTTGTCAGGCCTGAGAAGTTTTCTCAATTTTTTTTTTTTCTATTCTTTCTTTGGACCTCCCAGGCTGATACTCTGATCTCATTTTTTAAAATTATTTATTGATTGATTGATTTTTGGCTGTGTTGGGTCTTTGTTGCAATGCGTGGGCTTTCTCTAGTTGCGGCGAGCGGGGCTGCTCTTCATTGCGGTGCGTGGGTTTCTTATTGCTGTGGCTTCTCTTGTTGCAGAGCACAGGCCCTAGGCGCACGGGCTTCAGTAGTTGCACCACGTGGGCTCAGTAGTTGTGGCTCACGGGCTCTAGAGTGCAGGCTCAGTAGCTGTGGCACACGGGCTTAGTTGCTCCATGGCATGTGGGATCTTCCTGGACCAGGGCTCTAACACATGTCCCCTGCATTGGCAGGTGGATTCTTAACCACTGCGCCACCAGGGAAGTCCCTGATCTCATTTTTTTATTCTACAATTTCTAATTTTTTTTCTCCTCTCAAACAAGTGCTTTATTTTTCAACCTTTTTTTTTTTGGCTGTACCACACCGCTTGCAGGATTTTAGTTCCCCGAACAGGCATCAAACCTGTGCTCCCTGCAGTGGAAGCCTGGAGTCCTAACCACTGGACTGCCAGGGAATTCCCTTTTTCAGCTTTTTAAGGAAACTTACTTAAGCTTTTGTTTTCAGTCTCTGAAAGCTCTCGTTTTCTTTCCTACCATATTCTTGTTTGGTAGATGCAGCATCTTCCCATCTCTCTGAAGATATATATATATGCCATTTAATGCTTTTATTTCCTCTGAGTTCCTTTTCCTCTTTGTTTTGGTCTCTATCATGATAGGGGCTTTCTTCAAATGTCAGGCAGTTCTTTGCTGTATATTTTAAGAGTGAAGGGGGAAAAGCTGTTGGAAGCTCCATGGGGAGATAGCCCATCAACTGCAGGCCCACAGATGGCCAACTGACTTTCTCGCCGGGGAATCCTTAGTGTCAGCTTGTCAAGATCTTCCTCTGGGTTTGTTCAGTTTCTCCAGAGAGGGCTCCTCTGATCCCTGGTGGGAAAATGGGATGAGAATTCATAAACATACCTATGTTTTGGAGCAGGATGGTGCTGGAGAGGGGATGTCTCCGTTCAGTAAGCAGTCAGTCTCCATTTCTAGTCCATGCCTCACCCTGCCCTCCTCCGTGCTGCTTGTCTTCCAGTCCAGAGACGGCACACATCTCTCTCTCTGTCTCTGCCTCTCTCTCTGTCTCTGCCTCTCTCTCTCGGGCCAGGGTACAGGGCAGTTGTCATCTCTGCACCAATTTATTGGGAAGTAATCTGAGAATCCCATCTTCTCTTTACCCTGACTTTTCAAGCAATCCCCATTTCAGTCCTCTGCCCTACCCCATCCTTTCTAGGTACCTAGTTCTTCCAGTTCTTAGAACTTCCTTGGGAGAATTGGTTGGCTTATCTTCAGTATCCCTCTACAGGCACATAGCACTTAAGTCACTTAACACGTAAACATAGATCGTTTACCACTTCTCTATCTACTTTCTGCTTTATATTTTGTGATGAGGAGTTAGAAATGTCTCCTAGTTTCATCAAAATATGCTGTTTCTTCTTATTTTGGGATGATTTTCAAGAGAAGGGGGTAGAGACCTTTATTTCACAAACTTGAACTGTACGTCTGTCTTAGAGGTTTCTAAGTGATCTTGACTTTATGAAGACTTGGCTTTAAGCTAATTACTTGAGATTTTTTTTCTCCTACGTTAACTCAGAATTAATGGGTCAGTAGTTTATTTAGTCGAAGTCAATATTTCTGTTCTTCTTTTGAAATTCAGTTTAGAGTAGTCTTAATCTGAGTTTCTGGGGTATGGTAATTTAATCTGTTTACATTATGATATAGTCTTTGGTTTCTAAGGATTAAATTAGAATTTTTCCCCCCAAGAAAATGGGAAAGTTTCAGATTTGACCACAGAATTATGCACATGCTCTTCCTTAAATGGGAAACCTTAATAGAGATTCTGGCTTTGATTAAAAATATTTCTTCTGATAGTATATAGTTCTGTATTTAGATCAGTTTTTTTAACTGATGTGTAGTTTATTTAAATATTGTTTCAAGTGTACAGCAAAGTGACTCAGTTGTACATCTTTTCCATTATAGTTTATGACTAGATATTGAATACAGTTCCCCGTGCTATACAGCAAATCCTTCTCGTTTGTCTGTTTATATATGGTAGTGTACATCTGTTAATACCATACACCCAGTTTATCCCTCCCCGCCTCCCTTTCCCCTTTGGTAACCATAAGTTTGTTTTCTATGTCTGTGTAGATCAGTTTTTACAAGCATTAATATATGTAGGAAAAGAGTCAATCAGACAATTTGTTTTCATGAGATTAAAAATATGCAAATACTCCAAAAATTTGGTCATGTTTTAAATTTAGTATCCATATCAAATATATCAGCATATTTTAGAAAATATATTGACCAAGTATTAAGCTGGCTGAAAATAAGAATTTTGTTTTTTTCTAGAGAACACTAACAAAAGGCTGGTACTTACGGTAAACCAGACACACATTTCCCTCCTACCCCTCCTAAAATGCTGCTAAAAAAAAATTATATTCAAAAAGGAAAAGTAAAGAAAAAAAGGCCAAAGTTTTGCTAATGGAGAAATGTTTTGTAGATTTCTGGAAGACAGATTAAATTGGAAGAGAAAACTTAGACGACTGTACCACTAAAGGGCCTCAGAGGAGATGGGAGCAGGTGTAGCAGACAGAATCCCAGAAAGGCTTCGGGCTTAGAATGGCGACCAAAACAGGGTGATTGAAGGCCTATATAGAGAAAGATACCAATCCCCATATCCACTCCCATGCACAGAGTACAGAAGCAGCAAGCATTTATACTCAGGGGGAAAAGTAATTTTTTCTCAAGAAAACTGAACAAACCGGATTATTGAGGACTAAGACTTGGAATGCTTATGTCGATCCCAGAGGAAAGCATTCAGTGGGTGGGACAGGATCATCCAGGAGTTGATAATTGATGGGGCTATAGGTAATAGATACATGGAGAAGGGGGTGCTGTGTTATTCTAGTTATGTGTATATTTGAAACTCTCCATAATGAAAAGTTATATCAAGTCCTGAAGTTAAAAATGCAACATAAGGACACTATTAGTCATCACATATATAGCAAACCATCCCAAAACTCATAGACATATTACAGTAAACTTTTTTTTTTTTTAAACACTCATGGGTCTTTGGGTCAGCTGGGTTAATTGATAGAGGTGAGCTCTGCCACAGGCTCCATGTTGGGTTCAGATCTTCGCCATGTGTTTTCATTCGGGATGCCCAGGCTGAAGAGGTAACAGTTACTTAGTGCACGCTAATCTCAGAAGATCATGAGGGTGCCATTGCAAATCACGAAAGTGCATTCCAAGCCTCTTGGCCATATCATCCCATTGGTCAAAGCAAATCTTGAGGCCATGGCCAGATTCAGGTTCCTTCTTCCTACTAAGAAATCATGGCAAGGGTGCAGATATGTAATTCTGTCAAATGAGAGAGAATTGGAACCAATAATCCTATCTCAGGGTGTGAAAATGAAAATTAATTCCCCAGAAAAAAAGGTATGAAAGAAACAGGGCCTCGGAGACCAATTCAGGAGTCCTAAAATTGACTAACAGAAGTCCCAGAGAGAAGAAAGAAAATGAAAGAGGAAAAGTCCTGTTTTTCCATAATGTGTTCCCAGTTAGGGGTGGGGAAGAGTCTAAATTGGAAGATTCCAGCTGCCTAAATGGATGAAAAGGTTTTATGCCTGGACACATTATCACGTTTCAGAATATCAGGAGTAATGGAAGATCTTAAAAGTTTCCAGATTTGGGGGTGGGTTGTGGTGGGGTCTAAACAGGAATAATAAAACTGGCATCTCCTAACCAGCTTTCTAGTTTCATACCATGTTAAATACTAATAGTTCTAACAGTGATTGTGATTTTCATCCTTTGTGAAGATTCTATTTCTGATTAGTGAAACATGAACCTTGAGTATCTGATTCCTTCATACCAGTGAATCCCTGGGTATTTGGCCCATAAAGAAATTGGCCATACCTTCAAATGCAGCCTTATGAGCTCTAAATTATGCAAATTACCCAGAGACGCAAATAAATTCTTTTCAAAGAATTGTTTAACATAGACTGTTACAGAAAGTTATTGGACGATCAACCGAGAGGCACAAAAAATTGCACCCCCTAAAGGCAGGATCTGGTTGGAAGAGATCTTAACCTGGATTCTGTAAGGATGGGAATGTGCAAATAGTTTCTAAAATATACCTCCATTGTAGCCAACCAAAGTTTTGTTTCAGGATTTTGGGTTAGTTCTGTAATCTGTTTTAGACAAGTTTATAATATGAAAAAGTTGTTGTTCATTAAATGCACCTTTTTATTTTATATATGAATAACTTTTTTTTTCCAAGCTCACTGAAAACTGAGGCTAATTTGGAAGTTCTGAAGTCAATACCTAGTGAAAAATTAATGATTGAGACTGGTAAGTTTGCTTTTAGAACTTAATTTTCATATTAAACCATACCCAAAAACAGCTAGAGAAAAGTAAACAAGTATTATTTTATTAGCATGCTCAACCTCAACAATTATACTTTTCAGGAAGTCTTTGGGAGCTGTAATGGAAAATATTTACACAAGCGAGTTTTTCAATTTTAGAAGTCTGACTAAGCCTAAGCACTTAAGAATGGAACGTCAGACCATGTGGTAACTAAGGAGGCTGTTGTATTAAACAGGAGTCTTAACTAAGTATTTCACCTCAGGCTTTCAAAAACTATTCAGAATTTTTTTAAACAATGTCTTCTTTGTAATGGCTTAATTGTACAATATTTTTTAAGTAAAGTGCAAACATTTAAATCAACTGGATTTAAGAATTTTAGCAGTTAATCTGCTGCCTCTCGAAGTAAGACAAAGTTAGAAGCTAAAAATTTTATCTCTACCCTGAACTCAAGGCTCTTCTTATACACATGGACTTTCTTAGTAAAGTCAAGACTGAGCCATTCTGAAGAAATCAGGTGTATTTCCTTGGGGAGTCATGAAAACTAAATTATCTTATTAAAAATACAATGGTTGTAAAATGTGTAAGCTATTACAATTCTTTATTAGAGATTTAGGTAAGTAAATAATCCCAGTATTCAAAGCCGCTGTTTTTGGGACTTCCCTGGCCGTCCAGTGGTTAAGCTTCCACTGGAGGGGGGACGGGGTTCGATCCCTGGTCATCAGGGAACTAGGATCCCGCATGCCACGTGGCACGGCCAAAAAAAACAAACAACAACAACAACAAAAAAAAATCAAAGCCACTGTTTTACATTCAGTAGGGGCAAACAGAAGTTTAACTTAAATGTTTTCATGTTACAGTTGTATTTCTTTTAGCTTTAGATTCTTTAAAGCATACCATACACCAACAATACTGTTAGTGGGGAAAAAAATAAAAGTTTAAGAATTTGTACAGTTCAAGATTTTATCTTGTACTTTTCTTAAAGCTGTTTTCTGTTGCCTTTTACCATTTTTTAAGCTGAATCATGGTGTATATTTGAGAGGTTATATAATAGTTTAATAATATTCATTAAAAAAACAATAATTTAAAAAGGTAAAAATCTCTTTGAGAGATTTCTCTTTCTTCGCTTAACTCTAGATGCACCTTGGTGTGGAGTCAAAAGTACACATGCTGGATCAAAATATATAAAAACTTCATTTCCCACCAAAAAGAAGTGGGAAAATGGGCACTGTTTGAAAGACAGAAATGAACCCTGCCATATAATGTAAGTATTTTGTTTTCATGGTCTCCAGAACATTGAAGTCAACCATCAAATGCCACTTACAAAATGAACTCAAGGGACAGAATTAAAGTTGGGTGAAATCCAAGTGAAGTTATCAAACACCATTTTAATGCAGTGATTTGGAGGAATTCCTGCCTAATTGCTGTGTATCAGCTCCTTTTTTCATATCCTCTCAACCCAGAGTGGTTTTATTTCAGAGTAAGAACTTCATGTGATTTTGGTCATTTGTCATTTTGTAGGGAGGGAAAAAGGTCTTAAAGCTATCCATACATAGAATCACCTTACCTGGCTTAAGTTCTGTTATCTTGCAGGTTTCCTGCTGATGTATAAAAGCACAGTCTTAGCAGAAGACCTTTTTTTAATGGTATCTGTATTTTAAGTGATTTGACAGCTTGAATGAACCTGAGAAATAACACAGTTCTTTAAGCCTCTGAACAAAAGGACAAATTATAGAAATGATTTCCTTCTTCCAACCGAGAAAAAGGGCAGAACTTTATAGAATTTTATTTCCTAGGGAAAAAAAAAACTAATTCAGAATCATTTTTTTAACTAATACAGAGCACATGTGAAAAGGGGGGTATTACACATCTAACTGCCAAGGAGCTGTACAGCATATTGTAATTTATAGGAAAAGTTTATTTTAATGGGCCCGTCATCCAGTTTCTTTTGTTGCACAAGCAGTAATTTAAATCTGACTGTATCAATCTAGTATGGCTTACCAGTTCAGGCAACTGGATTGGATTGTTGTAGTAATTCCTTTAATATGCTCCATCTTTTTTTAGTAGTTTTAACAGGTAAGAGTATATTAGATAAGCCAGATCTAAAATTCTGAGCAGAAAAAGAATTATTCTATAAAGATACACTGGAAAGATTTTCCTTTATTAACCTGCTGGTGTTGGCAAAGACTTTGAAACTGAATGTTTTAAAATCTGTAGGGTGAGGAATATATTTAAACTCTGATTAGTAAAGAAACACTTGTAATTTTTATGAAATGTAGGTACTTGCAAGTTCAGTCCAGAGACATTTCAGTAATTCTTTGGAGATTTAAAAGGACACTAGAGACAAGAAACTGGCAGTTTTCCAGCAGCCAGCTTAGAGGAAGTAGTTGCCAACAGTGTATCTAAATTGGTTTTCCACACTGCCTTAATCGTTAAGTAAAAGTATAGCTGTTGACTTTAGCTGCATATTTTCAAGACAAAATTTTAAGGTGTTTCTAAATGCAGACTATTAAGAACCAAGAAGGCTTTTGAGTATCTACTGCAATCATGAATACCAGTTCTGAGTAGGCAGAGCTTGGGAAAATCAACATTTGCAAACTGAAAAATTTCAAACCACATTTCAGAAATACACATGCCCCTAGTCTAATGCGAAATACTAATTAGCAAGTTAATTCCTACTTACAAAGTCATTTTTATAAACTCCATCTGTTAAGAGTTTTATGTTCTAATTATTTGTATAGAGATCTCTGCCCCCCCCCCCCGCCCCCATTAGATTATAAATTCCTTGAAATACATTTTGGAGCTCTTGCCAAATATCAGGAAAGGTACAAGTTACTGAGACTACACAGAAGAATCAAGAACGTTCCCACCCTCATCCCACCAGATGAGTAGGTACACTGTGCCAGGCACTTTGGTTAAGGCGGTAACCAAGTCTGACAAGGATCCTCCTAGAGCAAACAAGCAGATAAAAAGTATAATCCAAGATAGTAGTGCTGTTATAGAGGTATAAACATATAACTGGGACCATAGGACAGAGCAGCTGCCTGCCCTGAGGGGAAATGGAGTGCTTAACTAAGGTGACATTTCATCTGTTTACTAAGTTGGACCAGGAGTTAGGCCAGACCAAGACAAACACCTTCAGCGAAGGCAGACTGAAGAAGAGCTTGGAACAATGACTGCAGTGTGGCATAAAGTAGGATGCTCGGTAAGTGATAGAGAAGGTACTGTAAGGCCAGAGAGTGAGGGCTTTTGTGTGCCACCCTTAGGAATTTAGATTTTATCAGAACCCAAAGGATTTTAAGCAGGAAAGCTATTAACTGGTATCAGTGTGGAGAAAGGACCAGAAGGGAGATTGGTGGCAGGAATCATACTGATTTCCCAGTATTATGTATTAATTTCCAATTCCAAGTAGTTAAAAGAAGAAAAATCTAGTTTGCTAAGAAAATTGAATCTTTAGTGTCACTTTCAGTGTTAACAGATTTGCTTTTAGCCTAGTTTGACTGTCAGATAAAAACTGTGTAGTCAGTTCATTTAATATAAACAAGGCTTTTGTTACTCCTATAGAATTTAAAAGTTCCAGTTAATCTGTAATCTCTGTCCCTGATTCCTTTAGGTGTTCATATTTTAAAAACCCATAAAGGGAACAAAAAGCTTAAGACAAAGAATAATACTTCAATGTCTGATTCTGACTTTGAACTTTCTAATTCATGTATAAGAAATATTGTCTACATATAATATTGCTAGAAAACAGCTACTGATAATTATCATTATTCTAGGCAAAGAAACAAAGATTCACACCTTTCTGTTGAAGGGAAAAACATAGGACGTTCTCTCTCCCCATCCCCCCTAATAACCATACATTGTTCTAAGTAACTTGCTCTAACTTCCTTTGTTGTCACTCTGCTGGTGGTGATGCAGCAATTTCTTGCTGTCCTTTACGACCAGTTCTCTAAGCAGTGGCTTTCAAACTTTAACTGCTATCCCCACAGTACCACACTGTGACTCAGTACACTTGCATGTATAAATAAAACCCAAACAAAAATGAAACAGTACTTGCCTTACTAAATGCAGTGTGCTTTTCCTTTTTATTTTTTAAAAGCGCATCATGACCCACTAATGGTGTGTAATTAACCCACAGTTTAAAGGGACTCTTCATTTCCACTGGGTTAATTCCGCAATTGTGGTACACATAATATGGGCTGGTTTTGTAATTTACTTGAACGTGGTGCCTGGCTCTAGTTATATGCAAGACTGTCTCAGAAATTTGTCTTTAACTGCTCTGTTTTAAATATCCTAGCAGTTAAACTTTCTGTTAACGTTGCTGAAAACTTTAACGCCTGTCTGGCTTTTTATGTTAAAAGATGCTAAAACAGTATCTTTTCCTTTATGTGAAAAAAGATAATACCTTTAAAACAGAGTATGTACTTAGAAATGTAACCATCCATTTTTGTTCTGTTTTAGTCAAATACTGGAAATAATGTCAGCAGTAAGAGATGAAGATCCACTGGAACTAGCCAATACGCTATATAACAACACTATTAAAATATTTTTTCCTGACATGTAACTGGTATGTGTCTCCCATTTTTCCATCATGTACATAAGATTTCATGGTAAAACTTAAAAGTTTCAATAAAGGAATTCTCTGGAAGTTGTCTAAAGAGGTATTATATCACTGTATGCCACCCATGAAGTCAGATGAGAATTTTTTACAGTCACTTAATGTCTTAGTTTAAAATAGTGAAAACTCCCAAATATTTCATGTTGTAATCTCTTCAAAAGTTCAAAAGGACAATTTTACGTCAACTCTGCAAACAGACTGGCTAACAAATATAGTGATTTTTACATCAAAATAGCACATCCTGGTTTATACCAAAGGTTAGTTGATATATAAATAAGCCTGTTTCTCAACTCACACACTCTCCGAATTGTGACTTTCAAACCCAGCTCAACCACAATGCTACTCTCAAATTTCAAAAAAGTGTCTCAATCACTTCTGGCAGCCTATTTTTTTCCTTAGTTTTAAAAATACTCTACATTTAGCATTTATCCTCTGGTTGGTCCAAATTCTCTGATTTCTTTGATTTAATACGGTTTCCCCTGATTTGCATTTTTATTCTCTCCCACCCATTTTAAAGAAAAACTAGGGTCCAGAGTTAGATACATTATATACTTCCATTGAGGAATCTTTGGCACAGTTGACGCACCATATTATTACATCTATTAAAAAGTTATTTGTTCACATTTGTCATAAAAATGTGAAAATTTTATTCTATGTACAATAATGTACACAAATTTAAATAGGTCACCAAAGAGACCAGAAGTAATTGAAGAGGTATATTTACAGTAGCACATCACAGTAAACGGAAAACCATTCACAGATTCAACATTGATACTGTTTTTGTGCTTGGTTACACACTGAATGAAGCATATTACTCCATTTTGGATGAACTGAATTTTAAACAAATACCTCAGTGATTAGTAAATGCTGTTTTAATCAGTATCATCATTATTCAGTTCTTCAGCTGCTGTGCCTGCGTGCTGAATCACTCCATTTCTTTCTCTTTGAGCGTCGTCATCACAGTCTGAACTGTCGTCATTCAATTCCCTGTCAGATTCAGCAGCAGCTTCTCTTACAGCTTCCTCTGGATTTTCATTGGGTGCGATAAATCCATTGTTGTTAGATATATTTGAATTATCCTTGATATCATCTTCAATGTACACTTTTTGATGGCACATTGGACAAGTATCTTGAATGTACAGCCATTTCCGAAGGCAAAGTGCATGGAAATAATGATTACATGGTGTAATACGAGCAGATGTTGTAAACTCATGATAGCAGATTGCACATACATCATCTATTTCTTGTAGGCGGCTCCCTTTTATTTCAGGAAGCGAATTAATTTTTTTTACAGCAGTTCTACGATTCATGAATGTCTTCCAGCCATTTTTTGCTTGTAAATAGATGTTAAAATAGGCATGTAAGCACATCATACAAGCCCGAATTTTACTTCCTGACTCAAACATCATAGTATAAGCCCCATTTCCAAACATTACCACTCCAAATATAAATTCAATAATATTGCCTGTTGAACGAACATAGTAGACATAATCATCAAGCTTTTCCCAGAGGACATTATAGTAGCCATCAATCATGAATAACGTATAAACAGTGAGAGAAACAATTACTTTTAAGCAGAGTTCCACACAAAAGGCTGTAACTGCAAACAACCATGTATTTAGTGCATAGTGATGCCAAAGAACGTAACTGAGTATAACAGGAAGAATAAACAGGCAAGCAGAGACAAAGAGCACAGGAAAATGTCTACGAAAAGATGACACATGAGAGGCACTGAGAGACATTAATACAGGGTCTGTCATTCCGTGGATGAAATGCAGGACTGCTGTTAATAAAAGGCACATGTTTCTACTTAAGCGAATAAGTCTCTCTTCTGGTCTTAACCCACTTAAACCAGTCTGAAGAGCCAAAATAAAAAACAAAACAGGTGCTACAAAGCCAAGCCGCCTGTCATCTTCTTCAGTTGATCCAATAAAGGCCAATATTCCAAGACCCAAATAATGGGCTATTGAGGATATTACAGCACTCATGCCCAGTACAGTGAGTGTAGAATCACATCCACTAATTATAAGATTACAAATGAGGTCCCAGAAATCATCCCAAGAAATAACGAAGGAATCAGTTTCATTTGCCATCCTTAAAATGTACATTAATACCGTAGCCTGAGCTGTAATTCTTGTTAGCCAAAAGACTCTCAGTACATCTGGGAAACGAATCCTCTTCCATGTGTCCTCCATTAATAACTGTAATCCATAAATTCGATACATGTGCCTTACTAAAAGATAAACGTATCTTGTGGAATAATAAAACCACTTAAGTTTCACTGCCAAGACAAGCACTGTATTTAACGTGAGAATCAAGGAAGAGGTAAAAACTAAAGTCTCTCGGATGTGTAATGGTAGCTCTGTGATTAAGCCTATTACAGGAACCAAGAGATCCAAAATAATTAACTGTGAATAGACGGAATGAATTTGGAGTAGTGTAATGTATCCAATTCCAAATGTTAGCTGTAGAACGATGAGTGCCATCCACAGCGAGGGCCCTTTTCGAGGAAGCAGCTCAATTCCAAAAGCTGATGTGTTGTAGGCGCCATAGAAGTCAATGTGCAAAGCAGCATAATAATTTACCAACACTGAAGTTGCAGCTAATAGAAAGGCTGAGCTGTACATGTAAAACTTGAAAAGTGATCGCTGTGACAAGATCAGAACAATACTGGATACAAATATACCTAAAAAAAAAAAGAAAGGACATTCGAATGAAACATTTTTAAAGAATGTTTTTTCCACTAACAGTTATGATATTCTTCCTTTAGTAAGGAATTATGAATATTTTCAAACTGATGAACGTTAAGCCTGAAGACAGTTTAGGCTTAAAGGCCAGTAAATGTTTTTTGTAAAGTCAAAGTTCAACAGGACAGATCAAACATATTATCCTTAAAAATCCTACCCCTTATTTTCTAATTTCCAAAGTAATTCAAGTAGTATTATATGTCCAGACACCAAATTACTAAATTATCTTCAAGATGAGTTTGTCATGATATACAGTTTAAGAAGTTTGAAACTTGAAAGAACATATTCAATTATTAAAAATATTTAAGATAATTCCATTACAAAAACATTAAGAATTAAAAGTAACCCAAATGGAAAACTTGTTCCTATTAAATCTGAGATTTCTTTTCCCCAAACGTGTTCTTTAGGAAATCAAGTTTGTTTCACACTTACCCCTAATTCCTCCTTTTACTCAAACTGAACTCCTGCTGGCTCTTATTTTTCCTGCTCCTTAAATTTGAGCATTCTCCTTCAGGTCCAAATTCACTTTTTTTCTGTACATACTTTCCTCAGATACCAGACATTTCCTCCAAGTTTCCTTTTTCCTGTATGTTTGAATCTTTTTCTTCAAATAGTCAACCCTTTTTACTGTTCTTCAAATTACAAAAGTAACATTCAGAAAACCACAACATGTTTTAATAAATCTTCCCCCTCCCCGCTCTGTAAGCAACCAGTGTATAGTCTGTTGTGCATCCAGCACCATCTTTTTTGGTGCTCTGACAAATTTTTAAGTGAGATTACGATAAACATTATTATCCAAGGTTTCAGCTATGGGAACCACACCCAAATATTCACCTACTTACACTTCTACATTACAACTGCAAGACTCAAAACTTCTAAAACCTACTGAACCTACTCTTGCCTCAAACAGCTCTTCCTCGCGATTTCCAATGTCAGTCAGAGGTACCACCATTGTTATTCTCCTAACAGCACCTCTAGCCCCTCATCCTCAAACTCTGACAATCAGTGACAAGTTTTACTAATACCTATACCTCCCTTTTCTCAGTGACACCCACCTATTAGTCTGTCTCTGAAAACTCTCTCATCCAAATCCATCTACAAGCCATCACCAAACTGCCTTTCTTCATGTCTCTGCTCAAAATACTGCAGCAGCTCTGAAATTACTATCAATTAAAACCTACACTCCTTGTCCTAATATTCAAGGACCCAATTTGCTTTAAAGTAATAATCCTCCCAACACACACACCAATGCTCCAGATTTCTTTCCCAAACATACCCCTTCTCTGCCATGATTACAGCTGTATTTACATTCTTCTCTTTGCCTGGCAGAACGGCCCCATCAACTTCCCAAATCCCTGACTGTTCAAATCCTACCCATCCTACAAACCCACTTTTCCTGATACTGACTGTTCCTTCAGCACATCTACAGAACTTGGCGAGACTCCTAATACTCATACACCACCTGACACTGAAGTTTGTAGTTTTCTGAGTAGGTACCTACTAGCAAGCAAGGATCCTACCTTTTACATCTATAGATCCCGAAATATTTTGTAGAAAATAAAATAATTGGGGAAATAAACGTTTCTGTTGAATTCTGTGTTCTATTTTTAAAGGCAACCATAAAATACAGCCCACTTGGAAACTGAAACCTATGATAAGGTAAGACAAAGCTGAGAAATCGGACCTTGGAGTACTGAAAAAGTGACAAACTCCAAATTAAACATCCATCTATCCACCTGATTTCAGCATGCAACCAAGACCAACACTGCATAATACAATAGAGCCATTCCACAATCTACTGCAGTTAAAAGCAAGGGCCAAGTTCCTCCAAATGATGACTTTGCCCACAAACTTAAAATTTTATACTGTGCCTATTTGTCAGATCATTTGTGAAAAGGACAACAAAAGAAAACAATCACCTGGAAGATACATCAGCCTCTGCGCAAGAACCACCCAATTCACTGAACAAGTGGGCCACTAATAATCCTCCCAAAGAGCCCTTTCAACAGAAAATGGGCTTTTTTTTTTGAGCAGGTTTAGAAACCCTTCCTGTGGAAAGTAACAGGAAATGGAATTTACTCAGCCACCATATGCCATATGTAATCTTACTTTCTCTACACAGAAAAACAAAAGTATTTTTTCCTGAAACAAAACTTAAATCTCCTAAAATGCGTCAAAACAAAACCATGATAACTTCAGTTCTATTATATGTTACTTTTTAAAAGGGAGAAAGTCAAGCAGGGACTGTAAATTATTTTTAACTTGCTATTCACAAAGTGGTACATTAATCTTTACCTGTGAATATTCATGAACTTTGCTGTAACTTATAACCAGATCTTTTTATTCTAATAGTTCTCCCCGATGCTTATTTTTACACAGATTAAGGAATTATTTGGGTTTTAGAAATACTTCTGGACAAAAGAGAGTGCGATAGACAAATAATGTAGTGAGACTACAACCTCAAAGTCTGTAACAATCTGATACTTTTTTTTTTTAAAGTAAACACCCCTAAAGTTGATTTGTCTCCATTTAATCTTCTTTTAAAATTTATTTATTTTTATTTTTAGCTGCGTTGGGTCTTCGTTGCTGCGCGCGGGCTTTCTCTAGTTGCGGTGAGCGGGGGCTACTCTTCCTTGCGGTGCATGGGCTTCTCATTGCAGTGGCTTCTCTTGGAGCACGGGCTCTAGACGTGCAGGCTTTAGTAGTTATGGCATGCGGGCTCAGTAGTTGTGGCGCACGGGCTTAGTTGCTCCCTGGCATGTGGGACCTTCCCGGACCAGGGCTCGAACCCATGTTCCCTGCTTTGGCAGGCAGATTCTTAACCACTGTGCCACCAGGGAAGCCCCTGATACTACTCTTTCTTGATTAAAATTATTCCCCAAGATTTAATAATGACCAAACATTTCAAGAATAGTATAAAATTATTTTAATTTTATTATTTTATTTTAAATTATTTTAATTTTTAAAATTCTTAAATTTTTCCTTTATACTCATGTTCCTGTGTATGGAATGTAGAATCAGCTCTCATTTCACAGGAAAAAAAAGTCAACTTTCCAAGTCTCTCAAGTAATATTCCCTCTCATGGCCTTCGGGAAGTGTTGTCAATAATATCAAAGTTTCATTGCATTTTCACAACTTCAGACATGCAACTCTTGATATTTAACCTGTAGGCCTAAGAAAATTAAGCCCCAGGACAGTTTCCTCATTAGGATTTAAGAGTGACCTGCAATAAGTAATCAAGGCTATATATAAATGCTACTTTATAAAGAAAAATCACCATGGGACAGTGGTGCATAGAATTAACTGGAATCACAATTCAGGGATCCAATTCTTCAGTGATTAGAGAGCTTCACTAAAGTGCTCAAGGTAGGAAAACGGCAGGTATCAAAATCAATTCAGAGCTTTGAAGATATACATGGACTCAATTCATGAAAGAGTTCAGGGCCTTTTCAATTTGGATTACCAAAAATGAGCAAACAAAACAAGCTGAAAACAAAAAACAAACCACCATGCATGTTACACAGCAAAGCGTTTAATTCTTTTATGTGTAAAGTCCATTCATACCCTTAACCTTTCTGGAAGTTGGGGACTAAAAATTAGAAGGAAATAAGACATAACTCCCCAGGTACCTTAAATACCTTTAATATAAAATCTAAAGCAAGCTGTGGAAAAACATTTCAATGCCTGACAGAATAAAGACGGAACAGTACAAAAATGTTTTAACTACATTACTCCCAAGGGAACCATATGCAATGAAATATAGAACAAAGTAAATAAAACATCTTGGGATGTCAGTCTGTAGGTGTACCTGACAAACTATAGCATAAAGAAAATTTTTCTATCAAACTCTTACTTTAGGTTAAAAAAAGGGTATTCTAAGTTTTTTATTAATAAGATAAATTTTGCTTTTAAATTAAATTTTTATGTGTTTATTAAGAAATATATGAACATGATTTTTTTAAAAAGTTCAACCCTATAGGTATTAAATGAAAAGTTAACCAAGTTTTGCATAAATAAGCACACATTCATGGATAAATACTTGTTTTTGCTTTTTACCCAAAGGAGATCTCATTATAATAGTGGAGTTTAACCTTTTCTAAAAATTACATTTCTGATTACTCATCAAAGAGGGCACCTTTCGATTTACTGACCATTCATGTTTCTTCCTCTGTGAATTGCCAGTTTTATCTTTTGCTCAATTATTTACGGAGTTGTTTTTCCTTATTGAATTGTAGTCATTTAAAAAATATTCTGACTACAGACTCTTTGTAGTTATCTGTAATGCAAATATCTTCTCCAGATGTGTGGCCGCTCTTTTCACTTTCTGATGCTGGCTTCTGATTAACGGAGGTTTTTAATTTTAATATCATTGAACTTATCAATCATTATTTAATACATTTGCTTTTACATATTTCTAAAGAACTTTTCCCTTACTCTAACCCTAAAAAAAAAATTCTATATTTTCTTCTAAAACTTTTAAAGTTCTGCTTTTCACATTTAGATATTAATCCACTTAGAACTATTTATATATATATTTTATAAATTTATTTATTTATTTATTTTGGCTGTGTTGGGTCTTTGTTGCTGCACGCGGGCGTTCTCTAGTTGCGGTGAGCAGGGGCTACTCTTCGTTGAGGTGCGCGGGCTTCTCATCGTGGTGGCTTCTCTTGTTGCGAAGCACGGGTTCTAGGTGCAGGGGCTTCAGTAGGTGTGTCACAGGCTCTAGAGCGCAAGCTCAGTAGCTGTGGCGCACGGGCTTAGTTGCTCCGCGGCATGTGGGATCTTCCCGGACCAGGGCTCGAACCCGTGTCCCCTGCAATGGCAGGTGGATTCTTAACCACTGTGCCACCAGGAAGTCCAAACTATTTATATATTGATGTGAGGTAGGGATCCAGTATAATTTTTTCCACATGAATAACTAAATAACCACTAACTTAAGTCTGTATTTAACTCAATGTATTGTATACTTCCAATTCTACCTGTGAAACACATCAAGTTTCTCTACATACATGGGTGGTCTGTTTCTGGGCTTTCTATTCTGTGCTATTTACTGGGCTATTTGTCCACCTCAGTAGTTCTCAACCAGGATCAGTTTGCACACCCTCCCTTCCCCTCCAGTCGTCTGGCCACAGTCCCCACGCCCCCACCAAAGAATTATCCCATCCAAAATGTCAACGGTATCTCTGCTGAGAACCCCTAAGGCTATCCCAATGCAGTCATAATTACTACTGCTTCACTTTGTTTTTACACTTCACAGGTTTGCTGAGTTCTTTCTACAGCACCAAAAATAACTATCTCATTGTTTTCAACAACTTCACTGCATGGCTGAAACTGATAATATTGTACAATGAACAGATTCTCTTTCAATAGACATTTAGATTAACAATTTGTTTTTGTTTTGTTACTACCAACAATGCTGCAATGAATATCCTTGCCAACAGTTTTTGCACAACTATTATCTTCAGGCCAAGTTCTCAGAACTGGAATTGTGAGTCAAAAGGTATACGATGAATTTTAGTTGATAGCACCAAATGGCTTTACATAGAAATAACACCTTACAAAAATTGTTTAACTTCATCTATTTCCCCATACTTCTGCCAAACTAGTTTTTATTCAAAGTTTGAATTCTTCACCAATCTCATAAGTGAAATTTTAACTACATTTGTTAAATTATAAATAAGGCTGAGTAATTTTTGTTTTGCTTATTGACCATGTGCATTTCATTTACTGTGAAATGCTTATCCTGGGCCCATTTTTCTCTGGGAGTATAAGTTTTTCTTATTGACAGAGTAAAACTTTTATTAGTACTTCAACTAAATATGATGCAAATATTTTCCCCTTAATGTGTCATTTTTAAGAATCTTTGTAAAAAAAAAGAATTTTTTCATAAAGAAGTTTTTCATTTTTATGTACTCAAATTTACCCTTGTAACTTCTGGATTTTCTTTTATGTTTAGAAAGGACTTTCCACTTCAATGAATTGTCATTATATGAGTAATACTATTAAAACAAACTCCTATGCTTGCATTTTCTGCCTTGGATTTAGACTTGTTAATTCAGCATTACGCTGCACTGGGCTGCATTTCATTTAGCATTGAACACCTCCTAAGAACAGCTTAATATTCTTAAAAGTTATATATATTGTGATATGACCTTATTTGGATCTCCAAAATGAGATGCTTTATATTCTGACTTGCTGAAATTCTCTTATTAGTTTGATACCAAATAAAAGTATAGTAGTAATAGTTTTTTGTAGGGGTAGGAGACAAAATTCTTCAGACACTAAATAAAACTGGATACAGAATAGATTTCCATGTTTACAATTCCATTTTAAGGATAAAGGTGAGTGACAAATTTTGAGATTTATATACAGTAGCACAGAGAGATCTACAATTATTAAAAAACTAACCAGATAGAACAATTGATTTCAACCATCCTTTGGTATCTTTTACACACAAACCTGTCACTTTCAATAACAAATAAGATGCTTCATCGAATGGTCCTCAAATAGTTAAGACATTTGTTTTTATTCAGGATGAAATTTTTTACCACCAAAACCAGTTTTTAATAATTTTATCATTCTTACAAATGTCATAAATTAGCATAATTACACTGCCATAATGTGAGGAGCAGTCAAATGATAGATTGGGAAAATATTTTGTATCTCTCATAAAGTCTGACC